GGTCCCGAAAAGTCGGAACTCCCCTCAGCCACCCACCACCCCCGACCCTCTGCGATTGGACCCATATGTATACCACATCGATTCCTCTCGTTCACAGGGTTCCAAATATATAACTTTTATTTAGATTGACACATGAGGTCCAAAAGCTATGCAGACTGGACCCTCCTGCCTGAGCAAAAACTTTAAAGTTCCACATGGCGGTTTGTGGTACAAGCATTTTCGTGATCTGCACAAACATGTTCGTGTCCCACGCTGCAAATCATGGTGGACTTGTGCGAGCATTTTTGCAACCTGCACAAGCATGTTTGTATCCCACGCAGCAAATCATGGTGGACCCTCGCAAGCATTTTTGTGCCCTGAGCGAACATGCTTGTGTTCCACGCTGCAGGTCATGGTGGACCTGAACGAGCGCGCCCTGGCATACCGCACCGGCGGTCTGCGAGACAACGATGATGAGGTCGCCGGTGGACGTCGGCGCGGCCAACAATGGGAGGGCGAGGATGGGCAGGGCATGATTGGCGGTGGCAGAGGTGGCGGCCGTGGCAGAGGCCAGCTGGGCATGGTGCGCGCAGGGGGTATGCTGGGTGGTCGGGGTGGCATGGGCATGGGCTATGACCGAGGGTATGGTGGGCGAGGGATGGCAGGAGGGCGGGGCCCCATGGGTGGCCGGCTATCGATGGATCGGTCGGGGGTGTATCGTGCATATGGGGGCAGCTCAGTTGGGGGCATGGGCGGCAGCTTCGGTGGCGGCAGTGCGTACAGCAGTGGCAGGGCATACAAGCCAGCTGTCTCGCAACCAAACATGGCCACGCTGGGCAGCTTCTACCGCAGTGACAAGTGATACACTGTAACCCTCTGGCGAAGTGACGAATGATGTGTTGTCACCGCACCCGTAATGCAGTTTGAACGTTTGTGGCCTGCTCTGCTTCATCGCTTTTTCTCACGCTCTCTCCCCCCAACTATCCTGCTGCTCTTATCCATAGAGAACCAGGCAGTTTTTGCACTGCTTGTTTTGCTCAGGACATGTTTTTACGTATTTCTTTAATCAGGAGGAAGGCTGAAGTGGGAGGAAAACCTTTTGTCTGGTTGCAGAAGTGCATGCTGATATGACTGTGGTGCTTTGATGGAAGGAAGGGATGCACCAGCCAGGGGAGCGCTCATACCTCGTCACCATTATCTTTGGCTGGAAAACTCTAAACAAGGCCTCGCAGGTGAAGCCCCACGTTTTCCAGCATTGAAAGTATCTGATATCTGTACGATGAGGTAATGGTAGTTCGCTCCTTCCACCAGACGGGGCAGCTGATCTGAAATGCTGAAGCCTTATTGAGGGCTGGACGGATTGACTAATGCCATCTCATCGAGGTTCAGGTTTCTAAGGATTTTGACCATCACTAGAAGGCAAAGGCTCGCCATTCATTTTGGAAAGAACAGGTACACAAGCTGTGTCTGCCTGCAAGGCAACTAGTCCATGGAGTGGCTCAGGTGAACAGCTTCTGTACAAGCAAACTTCAGGCAGACAGAACAAAACTGAAGCAATCAGATCTGATTGCTCTAGAGCAGAACGTACCGGAGCAGAACTGAACAGGGGAGGTTGTAAGGTAAGGGTACATCGCTGCTTATGCCTCAAGCAGGCATCTGAGTGGAATCGAACCCCCGACTTCCGGGTTTAGTGTGGAAGGATCAGGGCCGGCCCTGGCAACTCAATTACGCCGGTGCTTCGCCCTGAACAGGGTAGAGAGGAGTAGGTAAGGTTACACGCTATATCCGCCTTCAAGGGCAGCTGAGTGGAAACACACAGGTCTGTGACCAGACCAGACTAAGAAATTAAATGCATTGCTCAAAACTCAGGTACAGCATTTCAAGCAAGCAGACACAAACTTGGCTAATTCTAAGACATCAGTCTGGTTCATGAAGTCTTGAAGCCGGCTTGCACCATTTTCAGGCAATGAAGAAAACAGGTGCTGAAGCTGAGTGCGCAAGCCTGCCAGGTCCTCAGAAGGGCAGTCTAGAATAATGTGCTCTTCATCTTGCACAGTGTGCCAATCACACTTGTTGCATATCCTGAGCTCGTATGGGCATCTATTCCCTTGGTGCCGTTGGGTTTCCACCCGAAAGTTGTGACTGGGCAATCGTAAGCACGAAATGCTGCGCAATAAGCTTTGAGAAATATCTTTTCGCAAGTAGATAGCTGACAGAGGCTTTTTGTTCCTCTCTCTTTTATCCCACCAACCTGGTATGGTGCCCAATGGAATGCCAAAGTGTGTGTGATAAGTCCTCATGGTTCTACTGGAAGAAAGGAGTAGAGCAGAATAGAACAAAACTGGACCAAAACAGAGCAGAGCAGAGCAGAGCAAAAAGCATTGGAAACGACTGGATTGGTTCAGAATACAACATGAATTGTACAGTACAGAATAGAATTGCACATAACCTAATGAGCAGGGCAAAGCAGGTCTGAGGAAGGACCCAACAGTCAGCTTTAAGTTGAAAGTGAGTCCCACCAGCTTGGTCCAATATAAAAAACAAGCACAGAAGTCTACTCCAGCAAATTGGCCTTCACCTAGGACCCTTGGTTTCAAGGTTACAAGGTTACAATAGGTTTAGCCTTCGGCCATTTAGTTTGGCTGCTCAGCTTCCTCTAGGAAACCATATGAACGCTGGTACATTAGTCTAAGTTGTGCACAGGCAGGGGAAGAGGACACAAAACAAATTGCAAACATGCAGGATAGGAAAACTTGACAGTATCTGCAGGTTTAAGAGAAAGTACAAGCAGCAAAGGGAGCATTCAACATAGGAAAGCTCGAGTTATTTGTAGGATAAGTGCGCAACAATCATGCTTGCGCAGCATGCACACGACCGTTCGTTCACGACCAGTTCGTTAATTGAATAACTCTTTCTGAGGCTCCGAGACGAACTTGAAAAAGTAATTTTGGGGCCCTTAGACGAAGTCCTGACAAACCCCAAAACATGTTTATTTCCCCCAGCTTCGGCCCTGACAAACTAAACGAACTTAAAATTATAGCAGGGTAAAAGGTGCTTGCATGTGCGGCAAGACTCAGAACTATTCTAGATGTTCTCTCATAGGCTCCTGAAGGCTACTGTGATGAGTAGCTGTATCATTGGTTCAGCTCTAGGTCCGGCTGGATGTGCTTGGCAGCAGAGCTTCAAGTTGATGAAGGTGTGGAGTTGCTGTGCTTCAGCTGTCGTTTTGTTATCTCCCCCAGGAGGAACCAGGAAGCTCCCTAGGAGTTAAAACTTTTGACACTCACGTACAAATCCGTTCGAGAACTAAATGTTTAGAACCAAGAGACCAAGGGGAATCGTTTGATGTATGTATGGGTCCAATGTACTTGAGAATGGAATATGAAGGAGGGGAAGTAATTGATTTGCATTGGGTCAATTTTATGCTCCTTACAGGTGTTGCGCACTAAGGCACTTGCACTTTGGTTTTTGCACTGTAGCTCTCCTTTAAAGCAATTGCTCCTCACGATAAGCACGCTAATGGATGAAGAATTGATAGAGGAGCAAATGGATAGTACATGTTCGCATGGGGGCAACATTTGGGGGAAAGGGGGTGGGTGGTCCTCTCGGGCCTCCCGCCCAAAATTTCAGGGTGGTTTTCACCAACTTTTCACCCTCCTGCCTCGCTGAACACCTGTTTCTTGTGGATGTGCTTTAATGTCGTTCTGTGTAATTGTCTATTTGGTGGGTTCCACTCCTATGGGAGGCACGTTCTCCAAGCCCACACAGCCTTCAAACAAAGTGGGTGTGAATCTGTCTCCACTTGCATCTTCCTCCTCTACATAGAGCAAGTGTGCACGGCTCGCGTGCAGACTTGCTCTATGTGCAAGCAGACAAAAACTGTCATCRTCCACGATGGGCGCGCTCTGTGTTGTGTTGGATCCAGAGCTCTACACCCCAGATTCCCCAATCGAATTGTTGCTACAGAGCCTTTACTTCCTTCATTGCTGCTTTGTGYTTTTTGGACACAATGAATACAATAATGCCTGGCCATAATATACCTCAACATTACAACTCYCATGCAATCAAACTTGGTCTACCACAACTGATCTCACTCCCATCCATGCACATTCGGATTGCATTGAGGAGCTGTAACTGTAAAATCGGGCAGTGTGTCCATGGCGTTCATACATGCTCGGTTCCCTCTTCTTCCTGACGTTCCTGACTATCCTTGAAGTCCCATGAGATGAGAGCGACTTGGGAAGCATGGCTCAACAAGAAAAGCCAATTTGTAGATGGGTAAAACTCATGTTTTATGAGGTAACACCTGCAAAAGGGGGAACTCCTGCACAAAGTGACGACTCCTGTACCCCTGTCTCGTCTCTGTTTTGCTTTCCACAGTCTGCCACGGTGCTTGTTTTCGGCCTATGGATCAGACATAAAAAGTCGCGAAATGCCTCAAAACCAGTAAGCTCCCTCTGAAATTCGAAGTCAGGCCGCCAGAATCAGATTCTGGGGTGATGACCAGAGTTAGGTTAGGATGCGGAATGATCACCTCACCAGGAAACACTACAGCCCAAGGAACACTCGACCACAGGGACCACTCCACCACACAGATTACCACTATCTGTGGCACAGGAGCCAACTGTGGAACCCTGTTCCTTCTTTGTTTGGCTCCCCACAGTCTGCCACAGACTGTGCTTTTGACCAGGAGGTCCAATGCGAAACAAGCCAGCAGGTACAGGTAAAACAGATAGGTCCTCCTGAGATTGAAACTGTGGTTGCCAGAATCAGAATCTGGAGTGATGATCATCATGAGATTGCCAAAATATGAAGTAGCAAAAACATTTTGATTATCAAAGTTAGAATCTGCAAGACCAGTTACACCATGGGGACACAACACACCACAAGAGTCAACCTTTTGTACCCCTGCCTCGTCTGTATTTGGCTTCCCTCACAGTCTACCCCAGGCTGCTATGCACTTTCGACAAAATGCTTCATAACGCAAGACACGCCATGTGCACAGATGCCAGGGAGTATTTAGCTCCTGCTGAGATTCGAACTCAGGTCGCCAGAATCAGAATCTGGAGTGATGACCACTACACTACAGGAGCTCTGGATGCCTGTGACAGATCGAAATAAAATATTACAATAATAACTTAACAAAGAAATCATGCAGGCCGACGCAGTCCCGGCCTTGGGCTCATGTGGGCCACCCTCTGGTCAGTTAGTGTTTCCTGGCTGGTGTGGCTCTCTCAGTTCCTTGGGGTCTTTGCGGGCGTGTGGGGCTCAGTCTAGCCATTGGTAGCCGCCCACAGCGAGGACTTTAGGCCGTGTTAGGCTCCTGCATTGTGATGCTCTGACTTGCCATAGGACAGGAGACTCATGCTTTTCGGATAGCCATGCTGTCCAGGGGCTTTTGTCTGCCTTCCAACAAACCAACTCACCATTAAGGTCAAACTATTATGAGCTGCAGACTACTTGCAGTTTGTACTTTCAGCTTTTGCTCCTTGCGAGCTTGAGCCAATTTCTTAGGCTGGGTTTTTTTCAGGGGAACCTTTTGTTCTGCTTGCTGTTTCCTTGCTCTTGGCTTTCCTGTATCTGCTATGCCCTGACTCCTTTGAACTGGCTCAGCCGCCCTTTCTTGTCTTGGTATCAGTAGGGCCTGCCTTTTGTCTAGGTTCAGTTTGTGGGCAGATGGTTTCTCTTTTCCCAGTCTCGCCTGTTTTTTTCTGTCAGGTTCCTGCTGGGAGTCGTTCATGTAAACACAAAAACAAAAACGAGCAGGTGAGCAGTCTTCCTCAGCACTGGGGAAGGGCATGAGGCAGCAGGCCTGGCAGCCAAGTTCCAAAGCTGAGTTAGTAGAGCCTAAACACACACTGTCTGCAGCAATTGAGCCCGATTTCGGCTTAGTGTCCACACTTTGAAAGTCGAGGAAGCCACTTGGGAGGACACTGCCTCTAACAGTTGTCCCTAGTCGCCTGGAGCTCTTTATGAACTGCAGTGGAAATGAGAACAGCAACACACTTCTGGGAATCCTGCCCATGAAGATTTTGGGTTGATTGCTTGAAATTTCGCCCAAAAAAAGGTTTTTCAGCTAAGAGGGCTGTGAGAGTGTACTCTGCGATGCGGTGAAACAGGACTCAAGGTGGGTGCTTCCTTAGTCCTTTTCAAGGGTTGGCTGTGTTGTTCCAAGTATCCCTGGGAATAATGTGTCTCTAGGAAGCAAGGTAGCTTGATTCATGTTAAGTATGAACTGGGCATGGATCCATGGGAGCGCTTCCCCTGAGCGACGAAGGCCTCAAACAGGGATACTTTTGAAATGTTCACCAATCATAGGCCCCCTAGGTTGCAATCTTCAAACTTAGCATCAAATGGTAGCTATTGTGTATCACCAAGCTTTGGTCTCGCAATGGAGGGGGCACCTTCCTAATCAGCCGCGGCGTGATCACGATTCAATTCATGAACCCTAACTTTTGGCACCCAGCTGCCAATACCTGACCAGCCCCTGTACCAAATAGGGTGATTTTCAATGATTTGGTGTCCTTGACCCATAAAAATTAACATTGCAAAAAAATGGAGTGAAAAGACCCAGTGGTTTGTCAGATACTGAATTTCAGCCATTTCCCTTGAAGAAAATCCAGCACTAGCAGTGCCAAAAAGATCAATTTCCGACCTCCTTCATTCCCACTTTGGGATATGCAGGATATTAGCTTAGCATAAAATGGTTATTAAGAAAAAAATTTTGGGGGTGAAAACTGGTCTTAAGGTGGAGCTGTGGACCATTTTAGGGTGATCTGAGGCCAGGAGAGTGATCTGGGGTAAACCAATTTTCATCATTTTTTGGTGAAGGTGTTTATTTATCTATGCTATAATGGTTGGTCAGGTCAGATTTGGAAAATATTGGCGGGAAAGAACATTTTCAGGAATTTGGGCCCGTCGCCCACCTCTGGTAAACTCTTGAAAAATTATAGAGAAATTAATAATGAATAAGCGTGATGATTTGTCATCACAATTGATAGTTGTAGTTGACGTCATGTAAGRGCAATCTAAGTGACCCAGTCCGGTGCTTTCCTGTGCACTKTGCCAGGTAGTAGTGATGAGGTAAGTGCCAGAGCCTCAACGTTACAGGGGGGAATTCACCTTTGCTGGCATGCCTGGCATTAGTCTAGATAAGAGTGCTTTCATGCCTTGATAGTTTCAGGAAAGAAGCACTTCTTTTCCTTGCTGCATGTGATGCAGGCTCTCCATGGTGATTCAGATGTGGACTGTAAACTGGCCCCACATGTGCCAGGCCGTGTATAGAGGAGTCATCCCAAGTAGAAATGACCTCTGTAGTGATTAGGACCACATTCGCAATCATGGTAGGACTGCATAAACGCAGGCCCTCCAAAACATTGTTTTGGTGRTGTCCTGTGCAGCAAGTCAGTGCTGATCCTGAACAAACAGACATCAAGTATTCCCAATAGTGCAGGCTGAGCAGGTAAGTATTCTTCCTAGGCGCTGGGGAGCCCCCCTTTGGCAACTAAAATTGGGATGATATACTGCCGGACACTTCCAAACCACTCCTGAATACCAGTGCTGACTTTTGGGTCTTTCCTTAATGCACGCTGGCTGTGCCCAGCGCAGATTTTCTCTCTTTCTGGAGGAATCATGCCAAGCAGAAATGGCCTCCTTTAGGACCCCATTCCCGATCCTGGTAGGACGGGCCTATGCAGGCCACATATTCTTTTTGGTGATRTTCTGTACAAAATGTCAGTGCTGATCCCAAACAGGCACAGACATCAAGCACACCTAGGACAGTACTGGACTAGTCTAACACACACATGCATGCACACATGCTGAGGGGTGGGTGGCCAAGGGCCTCTTCACACAAAAGTAAAAAGAAGAAAACTGCACACACACACACACACACACACACACACACACACACACACACACACA